AAGTAGTTGTTTCGAATGGGCTCTTTCTTCCAGTTCGAATGGCAGTTTCGTCTAAAAAATGTATCTTTCTATTGCACGTGGAAACTTATGCCTCTACGTTTCAGAAAATATCTCCGGGCATAAAAATGATTTTTCCTGGAAACTTTGACACCATGTAGGTCAATAGTTGAGGTCGTTAGAATATTTGTGCATTTGAAGTTTTCTTCTTCTCAAAATAGATCTTTTGCTGTACTTTGTAGTTTGTAGTACATATTCAAGAGGTAGCAAAAACTATGTGACTTCTTAGAATCCTAATATGACTGATAACCAGTCCGTTCAAAGCTTATTGTTGAATCATCTGAAAATAGAACTTTTAAAGGGTGATGATCAACTGTATGGCCAATTGTGCGCCAAACTAAGTGACTATTATAAGACAACATGTAAAGCTGAGGCACTAGTCAATCTAATAATAACACTGATGATCTTCAAATATGACTCAACCTCTGACGGAAGCACCAAAATTTCAGGAAGGTTCGAAATGGATGAACACTATTATATCTTCAAGCAGTCATTGTTCACTGTGGTTCAGGAGTTGAATCTGATCATTATCACCCACTGGGTGACGATAGTCGTGTCACTAAATATTCTGGCAATATCTTGAATTTATTGAAGCCTCTGGAGACACCCTACATTTTATTCTATGAAAGAGAGAACATTGGCAGATCAAGATCTTTAGATTAGGTAGTGCTGCAGGTTTTTCCGGGTTTCCTGCAGCTGAAAAAGCAAATGCGACACTGGAATTTATTGAAGCCTCTGGAGAGACCCTACATTTTATTCTATGAAAGAGAGAACATTGGCAGATCAAGATCTTTAGATAATGTAGTGCTGCAGGTTTTTCCGGGTTTCCTGCTGCTGAAAAAGCAAATGCGCCACTGGAATCAATCAATTCGCTCGAAGCGCCAATTAATTTTTGGTGTTGTTTCATAAATCCATGATTTGGATTACTTCTTTTTTTATATGTTACTATAATTAAAAATATCATCTCAAAAAAATCACCATAACTCTAAACATGTTATCAACAAATATCCTGTAGAAACTACCTTCTTTTGTGAAAAAATATTTGTCCTGCAAATAACTGAATTTCTGTTATGTTTGTTAAGTGTGTGAATAATATTTATTATCATTTTTTGTTAGGATATATCCTCATCTTCCTGGAGATTATATGCTTAACTTCCTCTTTCTCTGTTTCTTTTCTGTTTTTGACTCTGTTCCCTTTTGGTGCACTATACCTACCAGCTCACTCGGGGGGATTGGAACACTGGTAGACCGTCTATAATCTACGATTCCATATTTTTTTACGTGAATTAAACATTTTTTTACTTATTATGGAAACCTTTGGCAGTGTTCAGAGGCATATGGATATGTGAAAAAGTTGAAAATAATTTATCCCAGGCTGATGTATTAGATATGTTCTGTGAATCCATGATTTATCCGTTTCGCAATCAAGTCCGAATATTTCAACCTCCTGGCAGCCATTCCAATCGCAAACATTATGTTACAGCATGGCTGCGCCTTGAAACGCCGAAATACTGCTGGATTTAAAATTACTCAATTCAAACTCCAGTTTAAACCAAACGTATGAAACTTATCTTAACACTTGCAAATTTACTTTCCCATCCTTTGTCTGTCGATGGACTTTGCTCCACGGCATCCATCACACATCACAAAGAGAAATCAATTGTGCTCTAACCACACACTTTGGAGCGCGTGTACTCGGCAGCTATAAGGTTCAAAATTATTCTGTTCATATGCCGGAGGTCGACCGTATATTTCTGTGTATTGGTGTTTTTGAATTGTTTCTTTTCTCTCATTCTTTGAAGTGCTATATATACCAAATTTTTTAACAAGCTTTGTCAATAAGATTGTATTTTCTTGGACAATAAAGTATATGTCTAATCTATTCCATTCCATTCTAATTCAAGACACCCAAGACGCAGGTACCTGAAACATGTATCTATAGTATAAATAGGGATAGGTTTGTGAGTATGATTAGTTGGATCTTCCTCTTGAAGATGATCACTTGGTGATCGAAACACGTGTCGAGGTGTTGAAGTAACGGTTTGGTGTTGGGAAAAGACTTCAGTAATATTCATTATTACACCAAAGGTTCTAAACAGTGCATTCCTCTTGAAAATTAAACTTAATCTTCCTCTTGAAGATGATCACTTGGTGATTGAAACACGTATTGAGGTGTTAAAAATAACGGTTTGGTGTTGGAATAGAACTCCAGTAATATCCATTACTACATCAAAGGTTCCAAACAGTGCATCACAAACCCAAAATTGTTTTTACTTTTGAATGTCGATCAAAATTTACAGGCGTACCTGAGATATCATAAATTTTCCCTGGAAAAGACGATGACGTCATGACTCGATCTGGTCTAATACGACGATATGACGGTAGCCGGTCGGGTTGACGTGGGTGGCTTACTCCATTTATTCAACAGACCGCTGTGAGAACCGGTGGTTCAAGCCGCGAGACCGGACGATCGATTTTCAGTTGCCATCGTCTAGCCCGTGCTGGAAATCACACGTCAAAAGGCAAGACCTCGTTAGTCCTTAGTTTGCACAAGTTTCGACTTTAAGACTTGTCATTCGTAAGGGGAGGACAGAGTACACGGAAGAACAGTTTTTAACAGACAGTGCTTCAATTCGGTAATTCATTACCTGAAGAATATGAACTAATGAGGGGGCCCTTGTATCCTGAACTGTCTTGTTATTCGAAAATTATACTCACTATGTGAATCACAGTTACTACTTCGGTTTTATCTTCAGTAAAACAAATTATTATTTTTAATATATATGCTATGATGTACATAATGCTTTGACGTTTTCATACACCATAATCTTTCGTATTCCGTTGAGACTCTGGTAGAAATGTGTTCGCAAATGGCGGGAGTTTCAAAATCATCGATATATAAATTCAAGAATGAGTAAAAAAATGAAGCTGTGAAGAAATCAACAAAACTGTCTTTAGGAAAAAACTATGCCTTTTGATGAAAATTACAAACTAGCAATTAGAAGAACAGCGTATTCATTCTATATCAAGAAATAAATACCAACTATTGACAAAATAATCGGAGCCCTGGAAGAAGACTAAAGTATGTCTCTAATGATAGGCAGAAAGAAATTGTGGAAAACTTGAATGGAATTGAATTTCAGCTGGGAGAAACAAAATATAAAATAGCTTTCAATTGAGAATAATGAAATTATTTGCTGGAGGAGACATTACATAAGATAAGAGGGTTTCGCCGTGAGAATAGAAAGACACATTACCGGGATGAAATATGGCACGAAGAAGGCAATAACATTGCAAAGATGTGGCAAGACAGAAACATCACAAGTACTCATCAAGCATTTTTAGAAGGCTGGTCTACCGGACTAAAGCCACCTTCTGGAAAAGGAAAGCCTCACCCTCACTGGAAGTGTAAATGGTTTTATTAAGGAAGGTAAACCAAAGCATTCTGGGGATTGTCACGAAGACTTGAACTAATGCATGGAGAATATCATTGAGTGGCTTCGACAAAAAAAGCGAGTGTGCTTTAGACCACACGACTGAAGTGAAACTTCTTCAGCTCCATCTATATGTGCACAATATATACATCTACATTAGGGTGTTTCATTTTAGGCAATATTTTTTTTCTTGGTTCCACCTGAAAATCTGACAATTTGTAGAAAAAAAAATCAGAGTTCAGCATCGCCAGAACTGTCAACTTCGAGGAATTTAAATAGATTAGAGTCAGTACTGGAAACCTTGATAATCTCGGACTTTTTAAAATCGTTGCTTCACTTTTACCCACTTTGAGATGGACTTCTGTATTCATTATCTGTATAGTAATTATGAATAATGAAGATGATCATTATTGATTTTTTTTCTGTAAGTATTCGGGCAGTTCTGTTAGAGATTGCGAAAATTCCTGCTGATCTAGAAAATTTGTAACAAACAGAAGCATAATAATCAGTAAGATAGATACATATCTATAATCTCAGTTTGAAATGAATTATGCAACGGTTTAATATTTGTTTAATACATAAGACTAGAACAATGATTAATTATATTACTCTAATTTGGGCATATGTGTTTCAAAAAACTTGTGATGATTACAGTTATCTTGCTTGCCTAAGTTTTTATAATGGGCTGATGATAAGGCATGAACCATTTTTTCTTAATGTACTAATCTAATACATAAAAATGGATGTTTGTTGGTTGGTTGGTTGGTAAGTGATAAACTTCTACATCGCTCAACCGATCGTGATGAAACTTGACATGTATAAGTAATTTTTCATAGAGAAGGTTTTTAGGCTATCAATTTTTCTGTAACTCGCCACTAGACGGCGCTGTAGAACAATTTTTTGAAAGCACTGTTCTATAACGCTGTGCACGCCTAAGTTTGTTGATTCTGATTCTGTCAAAACATTGGAACAGCAGCGATACAGCAACATAGTACTAATTAGTACTACAACCACCAAATTCTACGCGGGCGAAACCGTGGGCAACAACTAGTACACTAGTTTCCCAATTCCCATAAAACCCAATCCAGCAATGATACCTGTTGCTACAGCCTTTATGCTCTTATATCCTTGAAAAATCCCTGTTACTTTTCCACTGACTGACCGTTGGTCATCTATAGATAAGACTACTACTTCTTGAAATAATTTATTCAAGAACGGTTGAATATTCGTTTAATATATATGATTAGAAAATTGACTTCTTATACTACTCCAACTTGTGATGAGTACAGCTTTCTTGCTTGGCTGAGTTTTTATAATGGCCTGAACCATTTTTTCTTTATGTAACACACTGCAACGAAAGAAATTCTCAGAAAACCCAATCCAGCAACGATACCAGTAGTCACAGCCTTTATTCTCTTATATCCTGGAAAAATCCCTAATGCTTTTCCACTGATTGATTGTTGGTCATTTATAAACAAGGCTACTACTTGTTGAAATAAATTATACAAGAACGGTTTGATATTTGTTTAATACATATGACTAGAACAATGACTACTTATACTACTCCAACTTGGGCATATGTGGTACAAAAAACTTGTGATGAGTACAGTTATCTTGCTGGGCTAAGTTTTTATAATGGGCTGATGATAAGGCCTGAACCATTTTTTCTTTATATAATACACTGCAACGAAAGCAATTCCCAGAAATCCCAATCCAGCAACGATACCAGTAGCTACAGCCTTTATGCTCTTATATCCTGGAAAAATTCCTTTTACTTTTTCACTGACTGACTGTTGGTCATCTATAGATAAGGCTACTACTTGTATGTCGTATTCAATTCCCTCGACTATATCTGTTACTGAAACATGAAAATAAATTAGATTTTTTATAAAAACAGGAGCGAAAAAAGCATACTGATCAACGGTGGTACATAGTTTTTATGTCGGCGATTGATCGTAAGTATGAATGAAAATAAAATATTTTTTGGATTTCGGATGCAGATGGCAAGAATTTATAGAAAACTCTTCAATGAATATAGTTTCCACTAACAATTGTCATCATTTGAATTGAACATCAATAATGATAATATTAATTGGTCTTTACAACAAGTATTTAGCATATGTAAACAAAATAATATATCACTTTTAAGTTGAATAAAATGTTTTAAATAGTCAATTTTTATGAACGATCGAACATTGTTTATACAATAGCTGATTCAGTGAGAAAGTACCTACTTTTTCTCATATCACAAATTATGTAATTTTAGAAAAATACTATATGGAGATTGGACACTTTCATATTAATGGAGGAAATGAATTCATTATTGATTTAAATGACGACTATGATAGTGAAACAGAGAATATGGAAGAGGAATTATCAGAAGCTTTCGAAGAAAGTTAGTGAAGTGTTTTTGAAGCGATCATATATATATATACAAACTTTAACATG